TGTTATCCTTAGTCACTTTTTTATATATAAAAAATATATACCTGTTAATTTATAAATGATTGGTAGAATAAAATATATCTTAATAATGTGCTCATAGAATAATTGTTGTTTTATTAATTTGCTTTATGTTATAGTGATGAAAATAAGCAACGAATATTCAGAATTCTCGCTGATTAAATATTCATAACTCCAAAAACGTGGCTTCGCTGAATTGTTATAATTAGCCTATGGCCGAAAATACGCCGGGTGTCTTGTCACCGGCCGGGTACCCCCTATAGAAATTTCACGGTCAGCTCCAGGAACCAATAGTATCAAGCATAAATGGCTTAAATATACAGTCATCTCAGAGACGGCCGCGGATTCGAGCATAGAAGTAATTGTATTTAAAGGCGGCTCTTCACGTTGGCCAATATATTGGCGAATGTGTTGGCCAATAACGATGGCCATGTAGAGTATGTAGAGCGGGTGTTTATACTTACGTTGTTATGTATTGGAATGATGGCCCACAAGTTGGCGCGAGATCCGTGTGGTGTCGATTTTTACAAAAGATCAAAGGGTTGTGGCAGAGTATTGGCCGCCGTGTCCACACGTTGGGCGCACGTTCAGTTTGCTACGAGCTCCCAGAATAAACGCACGCACCTGATTTAAATTTTATATGCACACATCGTAACTAGTGTCTACATAATGGCAATAACAATGACCAATGAAATTATTTTTCGCTTTATAGAGCTCTACCAAAATTGTTTGTGAAACACAAGTCTTTCAAGTCCTTTTTTAAAAAGACGTTACTAGGATTATTTCCTGTATCGTGGAGGCAGTTTACAAACATAAATTGCATAAGGACAAATATCCAGACCCAGAGCAATTATTTGCAGGCCATACAAATACTCGTTCCGTGCGGAATTAGAACCCGCGGCCCCCAGCGCAGCAACTCATTGCTAAGCCATTATGTCACGGAGCCGTCAAGAAATATTTTTTTCCCATTTCTTTTTGATCATCCTTTTCCTATACACATTCACGTTGTAGTGGTATGCTTTGAATAAATAAAAAAATAAACGTTCATATTAGAATTAAGAAAACTCACTCGAAAGTTGTAAAATATACAACGTGCGAGTCAGATATAAGCCAGCCCCCGAACAGTGTCGCACCGCTACTGCTCTGTGTGACCAGTTGCATTGACAAAGGAATATGCTCTCACCCGCAGAGACTGCTGTGCTGCATCGCGCCCGATCTGCATGGTGTCTATCTCTTCGTCATTGAGTTCTCTCCGGTATTGGTACCGCACCGCAGCCACCGTAGTATATCCATATTAAAATTTCAGTTTCAAAAATGCCCGCACTATGTACGCTTCCTGGACCGCTTCTTTGTACATAGCGCCATCTAGGTATGATTTTCGTAAAATACTGGTTGCCACGATATTCTTGCGTAATTAATTTTCATCACATTCATGAAACGCCTAAACCTAAACTCATGCCTAAACGAAATGTCCAATTTAGTTTATTTAAAGACTAAATATTTAAATATTTACTAAATAAAATACTTGTCACGAAGTATACAAAGAAACATTTGATAATAGTTATATTAGAATATCATAAAATACATTTTAAATTACTAACAAGCAAGGATTTTATTATTTTTGTAAACAAATATGAAGTTATTGTACCTAATCTATGTTAATGATTTCTTATATTTACGCGAACACTACACATTTTTAAATAAAACTAATTTTACGGATTTTATCGCGTATATTAACTTATTTTTATATTCCCGACGTTTCGGGTGGTTTCCAGCACCCGTGGTCACGGGGGACTGAGGTGTTTGACGTCCTGCTACCTTCAGTTTTTTAATATTAATTTTTGGTTCGATTTACGCAGAATGAGCTTACAGTATCTTGAAGTCTAGCAGTGGTATACTTGGGTTTGGATTTGATTTTATTAATTATGGGATACCAAGCAGATGGCAGCACCCATCCATCTTCTCTATTGAAATTAGGATGTTTTTTAATTTCAATAGCCTCGCGAATCATCCTTGGGAGGAATCGGTGTTCTTTTGCGAGGATTTGTGGTCTATCAAATCTAATGTAATGGCGTAGACGATCTTGAACATGTTCACAAACTGCAGACTTCCCGATACGTCGGGAAGTCTGCAGTTTGTGAATATTAAATTCAATATAAAATAAGTTAATATACGCGATAAAATCCGTAAAATTAATTTTATTTAATAATCTATGTTAGATATATATGTATATTATAGTGTTTCGCAGACTTTTTTGAAGATATTTGTAAGAAGTCCAATTGGTTCGTACATTTTATAGTTCTATCTATTACATTTAATCGGCATACGCCAAGTAAAAAAAAATATGGATGAAATTTAGCTAAAAAAACTGTGATTTTGGTTAGACTAAAAATTATAGCCTACTAGCTGGAACCTGCGCGTTTGCTGCCGCAAAAGAAAATATATAATTGTGGAAATATCGTTTTACCACAATTATATATTTCCAGTCCAGTATCCTTTCCAGTCCAGTAGCTTAAAAATGTTTTCCAATGCAGCGGAGAAAAGTTTCGGGGATATAATGTCACCCTGTCTTACACCTCTCTGCAGTTGGATAGGTTTCTTACTCTGGGTCTGTCTATAACCTTTGCGCAAGTACGAGCAATAAGTTGACAAAGTTTTAGCGCAATCTGATAATCGGTATGGCAGTGCATAAAATACTAACAAACAAAAAATATTTTTATATATTAGATAAATATACTATCACATTTTTAAACATAAACAAACACTGACGCCTGTCATCCAGAAGGGTGGGCCGAGACTAAAAAATAAATAGCCATAAGAAATAAATATTAAATAAATATTTATTTCTTATGGCTATTTATTTTTTTATAATTATAAGTATAATATATTTTTCATTTTCTATTTATTAATGATTGTTTACTTTTTACTGCAATATTTATTATAGAATAATTATATATATATATATATATATATATATATATATATATATATATATAAATATATATTAATTTACATGAGTATAGAACTCAATTTAATGGCGAAAGTAAGTAGCGGGCGGTAATAGTATTTTTTTGTCAATATAATTTTTATTTTAATATACAGCAGCGACTCTCCAGAGACCAACAGGATTTGCTATCTCGTTCAAATCTATTGTATTGTACTTGTGTTTCTAAAGAGGATGATTAATGTCATTTATACTTAGGAACTCGGCACAATCTAATTATATTAAGATACTGAAGGCTCAGCATCTCAATATAGTCAAGAAACTTAATTAAGAAACGGATAAGATTATTATCAAATCACTGAAAGCCAATAAGCCCTCTACAATATTCATAAAATGAGTCGACAATAGTGTCGAAAAGAGTCACTTGATATTTTTTTGGCTATTGTAAAATATTATATAAGTAAAAAAAACTCTGTTTCTTATTTATGTAGTATACTAAAAATAAGTGACGACCTTGAAAGACATGCAGGATGTCGATGGATGCAGGTGGCTCAGGACCGTGCTTTGTGGCATTCCTTGGGAGAGGCCTATGTTCAGCAGTGGACTTGTGAAGGGCTGTACTAATGACGATAATGATTATGACTAAAAATAAAACAAAGAAATATTCTTTATTATTATTATTGCCCCTATACTCTGATAATTTAAAGTAATAGACGGCTCCATAAAGTAAATTTCCATGAAATATTTACGGAGTGCAATAAAAAGGCTGATTTGATTTGTTTTTATTTTTTTTTATTTTGATTTTACCCAAATAAACCACAGCGTATGTAATGGCTAACTCTGCAATACTCAGTATCACATCTGCTTTTATATAATATGGGCTCATGTTAAACGTCTAACCATCAACTGCCCCAGTATTTTCGTTACCCATTTTAGGTGTTAAGGCCACTTTTCTGCCTAGGTATCACTGACCTCTATCATAAAAGTACGCTGCACTGGCTATACACCATGGCATGTTGTCACGATTTGATTTTTGGAGCTAATGGTAGAGATAAACAGTGTGACAAAATATATCGATAAAAATTCTATACCCAGGCCCACCATTCTATTTATATACTTTTAATATAATGCCATACAATAAATTAATTTATCTATTAATACTTATATCTTAGACACAAGCTTTATATAACAATAAAATTGACGCTGCGTTAGTAGCTATATAACGGGTTTTGTTCCTGGTTTCACCATTGGAAATGTATGATTCATCCGAGAGGTTTAAAAAGGTCCAATGACTACTCATTTCTACGAGAAACTGAAGAAGGTAACAACAAAATAAAGATAAAAATATAATTTTGTAGAGAATTTATTGTTAACCTTTTACTTAGTCCTCGTAATAGAGAAAATCAATAAGCTGCCAAAATATTATGCCTATTTCAACAATATTTATAGGCACAACTCGAATTTTACAAACTTTCAATTACATTAAGAATTATCATAATCATAATCAATTTGCTTCGTTCAAGTTTTATGCTTTTTAGTCACAGTTTTAGTATACAGTCAGATGAAAACATGTAAATTAATAAATTGTAACAGTCAGTACAAATAAAAGAAGGTAGAACTAAACGCACTAATTTTATTTTATACTTGAATAACAATCTCGGCAGAGTTTCGTTTTATCACGAGCGGTAGTGTGATCACTTTTTTTAAAATGGAGCTTGTAAGACACTATATAGCACTACCCCACACCAGAGACATCCGGTGGTTAGAGTGGTGGCTTCCGCTTGGCTTGGCTAGGATTGGCTGGCTTGAATGGTGCGCTGTGATTGGCTGTGGCGGTGTGGCGTAACATTCGGCCGTCCTGAAACAACAATTGCTCCCGCAATGGGAGAAAGCTTGGTTAACTTTCTAGCAGGTCAATAAGGTCTTCGGTTTCCAGTTGTTCATCAGAACTGCTGGCACTGTCAGATATGGGAACCGTACTGTGATAGGGCCTCAAGGAGTCCGCTGCAACAAGGCCTGTGAAGGCCCTGTAGCCTCGGAGTCACTTAATACTTCTGATCCTATATCTGTCATTACCCAACACCTTGATTACGATATATGGACCCGAGAAGATGTCGTCAAGTTTAGTGTTTACCTTCGAAGTACTGCTTGTTGGTGCTTGCCGCCAAAGAACTAAATCCCCCTTTTTATAGACATGGCTTGTTTTGCGTTTCTTGTCAAAGTTACGTTTCATCCTATCACTCGCTAGTTTTAACTGTTTACTAGCTTTGTTACGCCTAACGTCCACTGGCTCACTAACACTTCCATTGCCAACGATGTCACAACGTGGCCTGGAGCTTTTGGAAAACATCAAATCATAAGGTCTGTAGGTTGTACTTTCATTCGCGGTATTATTAATACCCCATAGAATATCAGGTAAGCTGTTCGCCCAGTTATTTGCCGCCTCGCTAGCATCTGTGGCACGCAAGGCATTCAATATGGTACGGTTAGTGCGTTCCACTTGACCATTCGCTCGCGGGCATGCGACGGAGGTTAAGATATGCCTAAACTGTTTATCAGATGAGAACTTTTTGAAGTATCTACTGGTAAAAGCCTTCCCGTGGTCACTTACAAGTTTATCGGGGTATCCGAATAAGCTGAATATTTTTCTGAGTGTTCTAATGGTTTCCACCGAATTGACTGTTCGAGTTGGCTCAGCAATAACAAATTTAGAAAAGGAATCTGTTATAACCAGCATATACTGATAGCCTTTAGCTGTCTTGCAAAAGGGGCCCAAGTGGTCGACATGAATCATGATCATGGGCTCTGTGGGTTTGGGAATAGGGAACAATTTTCCTTCCTTTTTACCATGACCACTCTTACCATAAGCACAATGAAGGCAAGCAGTAACATACTTTCGAATAAAGCGAGTCATTTTTGGAAACCAGTAGTCTTTTTTTATTAAGTCTATTCACTTTTGGAAACCCACATGTCCTATGTCATCATGGTGCATTTGGACTAGCCTCCATCGAGCTAATGCTGGCACTACGAGACGATTACCATGCAATGTCTTTTTATACAATCTATCATCTGACAATACATAACTATTGGATATTTCAGTGGCGGCTGAGCCATCCCTAAGCTGATTTGCTTCAACTTATCATCCTGATACTGGACGGTATAAAACCAGTCCGACACTTCAAGGCGATTCACATTCACAGTATCGATTGGGTTCCTACTTAACGCGTCTACATGTTTCATTCTCTCTCCGGGTCTATATTCTACACTCATATCAAAATCTTGGATTGACAGCCACCACCTGGCTATACGCGGGATAATGTCACGTTTAGTTAAGGTGGCACGAACAGCCGTACAGTCAGTCACGATCTTAACATGTTTGCCTATGATGTACACCCTAAATCTAAGCAACGATTCGACTACCGCGAGAGTTTCGAGCTCGTAGCTATGATACATGCTTTCTTTCTTACTCGTTACTCTACTGAAATACATAACGGGGCGTAATGAATTATCAGTTTGTTTTTGCAACAAAATGCCTGCGATACCTGATTTGCATGCATCCGTGTGAATCTCCGTCGGTAATGCGGGGTCGTATAAAGCTAGTATGGGTTTTGTACACAAACACTGTTTTAATTGTTCAAAACTATTAGATTGTTCACGGCCCCAATTCCAAGCCGCGTTTTTCTTTGTTAAATCGGTCAATGGGCGGGCAATTATTGCGAAATTTTTAATAAATTTACGGAAATAAATACATAACCCAATAAATTTACATATCTCGTGAACGTTACTAGGAGTGGGAAACTGTGACACTGCTGCCAACTTAGATTCACCCGGTTGAATGCCACTCGGTGTAATTTCATGTCCTAAGTACGTGATTTTATTTTGTAAAAAGAAACACTTACTCATGTTTAGTTTTAAATTTTCTAATCTTAATTTATGAAGTACCTTCTCTAAAATATCTAAGCCCGACTGCACATCGAAAGATGGCAACAACAAATCATCTAAAAACGCTAACACTTCATAGTTGTTCGAAAAATTATTGCAAGTTTTCGTACTACCGTCTTTTGAAAAGTTATTGGAATTTCGTAATGAATCTACGATTTTGTTTATAAGTCGCATAAAAACTGATGGTGCATCAGCCAGGCCAAATGGGACACGCGTATATTCAAAGTGCCCCTGTGGTGTGATAAAAGCGGTTTTGTGTATGTCTTCCGGATCAATTTTAACCTGATGGTAACTTTGTGCTAAATCAAGACTTGTGAAGAAATTCTTGCCGGCTAACTTTGAAACCTGATCATCGATATTGGGCAACGGATACCTATCTTTGACTGTAATAGCATTAAGTGCTCGATAGTCAACACAGAGTCTACTATCGCCGTTCTTTTTCTTTACAATGATAACTGGAGAAGCAAAACATGACTCGGACTCTCGGATTATACCTGCGTCTAATAATTCAGAGACTTTAGACCTAACTATCTCCTGCTCACTATGTGACAAGCGGTAGGGTTGGCGGTATATAGGTTGTTCAGTTGTCAATTTTATTTTCATTTTTAATAAATCTGTACATCCCAAGTCTTGTGTTTTATTCGCAAAACAGTCACTGTAATTAGTCAATAAAGTAATTAAACTATCATGATCATTTTTATTTAATGGACCCGACTTAATATCTTCTATGTTTATTCCCCCAATAGTGCTAACGTTTGCTAGGCTAGTATGCAACAGAGATGCAATAGAGTTGCTATAATAATCATTATTGGCTTTGGCTACGGAAGTCGATGGCAAAGTGTAATTTTTAGGGCTAACCTGAACTTCTGGTTGCGGTGCGGTGACGCAGCTATCTGCTCTGGTCAGCACCTCGCCTTGCTCCCAGATGATGTTTTGAGCTCCATTGTTGATGACTTTGATGTACCCGACGGTGCCTCGTAGCAGAGTGGCAGGAATTGAGTACGAAACACCACGTAGCTCATAATGTTGCGGCGTAGTGACGACATCGTTATCTTCGTCATTATATATCACGTTGACCTTGATGATGGAAAGTCCAGGCAATAGACGCTCTTTCTCTGTAGTGACGACCTTAAAGCGAGCGCGCTCTTCAATCACATCCATTTGCCTTGTAAAGTCGATATCTTGTTTGAGAGTGGCTTTTCCTTCCCTGACCTCTAAGACCATTCCGTCGCTGTTGATGATGGGCTGTCCAACCAAAAGATGGATGTTCCCCATATCCACGTCTGTTAAATGAGCCTTGCACGGGATATGTATACCATCGATTTCTAGTTTAAAACCTACCTCTCCGCAGCTGGGTAGATGTTCTCCAGAGAATCCCTGTAGGATAGTGCTGGTCGGGTTGATTTTGAGATCCAATAGTCTCGACACGTGGGTAGATAATACATTTACTTGTCTGCCGGTATCAATATAAGATTTAACGTGAATGCCATTGATCTTTACCGCTTTTTCGTAAATCTTGTTGTGATTTTGTAAAAGTTTAATTTCTTTAACTTTATCATCAGCCAGTAGCGCAGGTTTCGGAGTGATTCCGCAGCGCGTAGCAATGTGGCCTTGCTTGCCACATTTGAAGCATGTTCGTGAATCTGGATACGGGCAGTTACGTAATATGTGGCCGGTCTTCTTACAGCGCGGACACGGGTCAATGTCAGGGTTAATAGGCGTGTATTTTTTATCAATTACCTGTCGATCGTAAGCGTCTTTACTTTGCACACGTGTTCTAATTGACGTTGACAGCGGTTGATAATCATCCAGCGCACAGAGAAAGCCTTCATATAATTCTTCGGGATGCTCGCACTGATATGCTCTCGCATTCGCTTGAAGTGATGATGGTAGACCACGAATGATGCAGGAGACTGTTGCGCTGTCAGACAACTTACACCGGAAGCACATGGCCACTTTGTCTTGGTAGTATTTCGTCATCGATTCCGTTGGTAGTTTCTTTCGGCTCATCATCTCTTCTAACATGTTCCCGAAATCGCGATGTTTGGGAAAAGCACGCGTCAGCATCTGCTTCCATTCTTGCCAGGAATAATCGTAGTCATCAAGCCGATTGTACCATCGTCTGGCTTGACCTCTTAGTCTATGCTGTAAGTAAAACGAGTTTGTAGTTTCGCTCCAGCCATGAATTTTGACTAGTTGATCTATTTTCTTGAGCCACGCTGTTGCGGTACTACATTCTTCATTATCGGGGTCGAATTCTGGAATAAGTGAGGCTGCACGGTGTTCTTTTCTTGTCGTTACGGAGGGTAATTCTTCGTCTAGCTCTTGCATTGCCTTTTGTACTTCGGTTTCCAATAGTCTTCTAAGGATTTTTCGGGCCGGAGGAGTGTCTGGTGGTGTGACCTCGTCTTCAGTGTCGCTTTTTTCAGATGAATCTTTACATGGTGATTCGCTCGACTCTTGAGGGCGGACTTTATTGCCTTTTCTTGGCATTCCGACGCGATGACGCTTCATAGTTTTCACTTTTGATCCCACTTCTGAGATGTAACAGTCAGTACAAATAAAAGAAGCTAGAACTAAACGCACTAATTTTATTTTATACTTGAATAACAATCTCGGCAGAGTTTCGTTTTATCACGAGCGGTAGTGTGATCACTTTTTTTTAAAATGGAGCTTGTAAGACACTATATAGCACTACCCCACACCAGAGACATCCGGTGGTTAGAGTGGTGGCTTCCGCTTGGCTTGGCTAGGATTGGCTGGCTTGAATGGTGCGCTGTGATTGGCTGTGGCGGTGTGGCGTAACAAAATATTTGATAATTATCTGTTGTCAGAAACTTTCATTCATTTTTGTAAACAGATATAGGTAGAAAAAAAACATTGATTATTATTATCGACAAGGAACTCGTCAAACCTATTGAATTTTATTTTTTATCAAAAATAAGTAATATAAAGCCAAACATGTTAGTAATTTTTTTTAATATTTATTGTAAATCCCCTTACTTGTGGAATGTTACCACACTTTCCTTCTGGTAACAAATTTTATATAATGATTGTTACTAAAAATACTTTTTATTATATTACATGAAACAAAACCAACACAAAACACACTCTTTTTCTGGTTCAAATTATAAAATACCTTTAAACTTTTTTACCAAAACAATGACCATTGGCAAATTATGTCTAATTTTGTTCACGGTACCACTCAATGGCAACGCTTCATATCGGCACAAATATTTTGTAGGGTATAGTCAGTCCAGCATACTAGTACCTGTCTTGTATTGGATACCTAACGCTGACTTCAATATTTAAGGAGATATCCATCTGGACAGGTTATTACTTTTTTTTAACATTACCTACACATTAGCGATTTCTCCTGTATCGTGGGGGCAGTTTACATACGTTTCCGCAAGGACAAACATCCAGACCCGAAACAATTATTTGTAGGCCGTACAAATACTCCACGCTACCTCTATTTCAGCCAGGCCTATTTCAGGCAAGGGTACAGATTTTAAGGTTACAGGCAAGGGTAATTTCAGGCGGTTAACCATTCCATCTTAGTCCTTCGAGGTAACAACTAGCTAATGTGCCAAACTCTGTCAAAGTTTGGCACATTAGCTTTTTGCTTAAGTTTCCAGCGTACGGCTTATCCCCTGGTCTTATTGAATGGGTAAAGGACTTTCGGAGTGAACGGTCTCTCCGGATCGTCGTCGATGGCTGCTCATCTGATCCTATGGCGACTAACCCCGTTGTTCCTCAGGAGTCCGTTCTCTCCACAACTCTCTTCCTGCTGCATATTAATGATCTGCTTATGCCCGGTATCTATGGGTATGCAGACGATTGCACAGTTGTTGAGAGATACCAACCAAGTCCTCGGGCCAGTCGGGATCAAATCCAGTCCGGAAGAGAAGCTATGGTAGAGCGTGTGAATCTCACACTACAGGCAGTCCCCGAATGGGGCGATGCCAATAT